GGGCATCATCATCAGTTCATGTATCACTGATGAACATTGCCATTTGTATACCTAACTTAGAAGAAAGGTTTTTGTTGGCAGCATTACATATGGAGATTGGTTCAGCGTCATTAGACTCTTATCTTTTATCTACCGTTCGTTTTTAACAACACGATCCGTGACAAATATACTTTAAATTAAATACAACCAGTGTTTCATTTGTTCTATTATCTGACCCTCTAGAATCTGCCTAAGTGCCTACCAGTAACAGAAAAGTAAAACGGGATATAAAATCCGACTAATACCTCCAGGACTTTTTTGCATATTATAAAAAAGCATATAATATATATCGTTGTAGTGTTAGTTATCTTTCACATTAAAACCCAACGATATTTACGTACTAGCGTTAAAACCTTTCAAATCTTATTTTAAAAACTGGATATTAATGTACATTCGCCACGCATTTTTCCAGATAAAAAACATCACAGTTATAAAAACGTTTTCAATATGTTATAAAACTATAGATTAGAAACGCAACACGTCATGCACATAACACTGCCATAATACATAACACACAAAGGTAAAAGCAGAAGTTGCTTGAACACTTGGCTTCGTTGAGGAATTTTGTTAAAGTATCGTGGTAGACACCATACATCATTACCTTAGCACGTATATTAATTTTGGGAAATTTATTAATCCTATTTTCATAACAATCACAGTTCTATTTTCTTAAAGAAACATGTTATGGTTTTTAGTTCTATTTATAACTTGAGATTTAACATTACACGCTGAACAAAATATGAAAGGTCCTTCAGAGGCAACTATTTGCGTCGTAAAACGTAAAACGTCCTACGGTGGGGTCGGGCTCGGCCTGCGGCGCGTGGTCGGTTTCAGTTTACGGGGAGTGCTCGTGCTCTTCGGTGGCACAGCAGTTAGTACTATGGGCGCTTGATGAGGAGGTCAATTCCCGATTTATGCCAATTTAAGAAACGAATATTTTTAAGTTGGTTTTGGTCTGAGTATTCTGGATTATCGTTGATTTGGTAATCATAGTACCTACATAGTACAGGAAATTCGGTAGTAGGCATTTTTTCATAGCATAGCTTTCAAGAAAATGAAATCTAACATAGAGACGGTTGAGATACAATAACGCTATAATAAGTATCTCATTTCCACTACATCGGGAAGCATGCTTTACATTTTTACAATTGTGAAATCTTGTACTCGTAATCTATTACGTCTCCGTACATTATCTCCATTTGATGGCGTGCGGACGCTTCGGGCTTCGCCCTCCGAGGACCTCGGTCTCCGGCCTCAGCACTTATGGCTTTGTTTTAAAAAAATTGCAATAGCTCTTTACTGGCGGCCATATTTCAAAATTGCAAAAATATATTTTGACCACTAATTATTATCAAACAATCTTAAAAATCTGTTCGTGCCAATTTTCAGTCCGAGCAAAGCAAATTTTTTCAATAGCCATTCACATATAAAAATACGGCTATATCGAAAAACGGCAGAAACTAAATTTTTACCCCAAATTGTGGTTGAAGCCATGCCATTTTCAGTCGAATTAGAAGAAATTTTTATCTACCGCCAAAAAAGTTTGTATTTTGCAGCCATATTGAAAAACGGCGAAAAATAAATTTTGACCGCTAATTATTATTAAACACTCATAGAGATCCCGACATGTCCACTTTCAATCGAATTAGAGCAATTTTTCAGCCGTCCGTTTCGGCAACCACATTTGACGAAAAAAACACTTATATGACAGCCATATTAAAAAATTGCGAAAAAAACTTTTCACCCCAAATTATGGTTAAGGACTCCTAAAGACCCCCGCATATCAATTTTCAGCCGGATCGAAGCAAGTTCTTCGTGCGCCATTTTGAATTCGCCATCTTGTTTTTTTTTAACCCAGGCAGTTGACAACTATTAATCTCTATGACATTCCTTCGAGCACCTCCTACCTATCTCTAATAGTTTCCGTGATAGGTGACTTTGAAATTTGTATGGCGGCCATCTTATTTATTTGAATTTCGAACATTTTTTAGTTCTGGCGTAAATTGACCAGTGTGTACCTCATAAAAGAGCACAAATATTCCCTCCATATATTATAGTTTTTGCAGGCCGTTGATCACTCTTTCATATTTTCCACATTTAGGTCTTCTCATATTTGTTTCTTTGCTTTGGAATCTATCGGCATACAACGGTATAAATATCTTTTTTTATTCACCATATCGGGAAGTATGCGTTCTATTTCTATCAGTGAGTAAGAACTTGTAGCTTTATATATATGTGTTTATGTATATGTTTTATTATAATATATGTATATGAAAAAGGTGTGTTTTATTTTCGACCAATGCATTTCAATGTTATTTCAACGCTCTCGCAAAGTAATTACAACATTTGAAAATGGAACTCTTTGGCTGTAGAATACAGTTTGTTTCACCTGACTGTCACTTGATTTTACATTATAGCGTCATTTTAAAAATTGGTTGTCTATATCACCATCGATTTAACTCGTGAAAATTTTCGCGCACCATGCAAGACGATTATTTATAGCTGGTTTGCAGAATTCATACGCGGACATGTGAATCTCAGTGACGAATTTCTTGATGGTCGGTGACATATCATGAGATTTGGGCATCTTTAGGCATAGGTATGAGTCAAATACAATCAATACTACACAAACATTTAGGTTTGAAAAAGCTGTGCTCTCGGTGGATCTCACACAATTTGACTGAAGCTCAAAAAACGGATCGCGTCAATTGGTGCAATGCCATGCTTACCAGATTTAACGAAGGGGCGTCAAATTTGGTGTGAGACATAGTAACAGGTGACGAAACACGGATTTATGGTTACGATTCCATAACAAAGCAGCAATCGAGGGTATGGGTCTTTCGAGATGAGCCGAAACCAACCAAAGTGGCGCACGTGCAAAGTGGTTCTAAGCGGATGATTGCTTCTTTTTTTTAATAAAACTGGTGACTACTGTTGCTTTGGAGAACCGTTGTACCGTGAATAGTGATTGGTACACGACCGTTTTGTCGATTTGTTTGCCGGATTTGTTGACCGATTTGTTTGCCGGAAGTCATTGACAAACTCGGTAACAATAACCGTAAAAGCCGTATCATCTTGGACCACTATAATGCCAGTTCTCACACGACCAGACAGACGAATGAATTTTTGAAGGTGAACAACGTTAACCTTATAAGCTATCCCGCGCATAGTCCCGACCTGGCAGCTTGTGACTTTTATTTATTTCCAAAAATTAAGAACCAGTTACGTGGTCAACGATTTTCATCCCTGAAGAGGCTGGCGAAGAGTATGAAAAATATGTTTCAGAGACTGTCACGGAGGAGTGGCATAAATGTTTTCAAAATTGGTTCATTCGCATGAAAAATTGCATTAACGCTAACGGAGAATATTTTGAGAAACAATAAATCCATTTCTGACTATTTATAGTATTTTTTTCTTATTCATTTCGGAAACTTTATAGTGCGCCTCACGTATAATAATGATGGTAACATAATAACAAACTAAGTAAACACAAACAAAGAATTCTAATTTAAATAGAAACAGGAACAATCTTTGCCTTGTTTCATCTCAAGGGCGAGCAAACAATACTATTCTTAGGGTCGTATTCTAGAACTCTACTCAATGCACAAGTCAGGATTGCACTGGAAACACAAGTACTGAAAATTGAGTAGAGTTTTGGAATACGACACTTACTGTCCTCTTCCAAAATGATCTGGAATGGCTTAGCAAGTGGTTTGTAAGGTTGCACAAAAGGTGCAATAATCAGTGAGAACATTACGCCGATTGGCAATTCCTTTCACCACGATGGCAAACAATGTCCCATCGTTCTAGTCTGCAAGTCCATGCCATCAATATGATAAGAAGAAGTGGTGTGTAATTTTGCAATTATATAATATAGTTGCAATAAAGTCTTTATTGATTGAAATTAACTTGGTACTTGGTGTAACGGGCTGGTGTCCGCAACTCGACGTCAAGGCGCCTATTTTGCGTGTGGTGATTGAAATTAAATATCTTAGTTAAATTTCGTACAATCGCCGCTTACCAGATTTACCATGCAGATCTGATAGCTATACAATAAATACAAAAGCAATCACGACCCCTTGTTCTAATACCCGGGGCGTGACCCACTGTTTGAGAAACACTGTTGTGAACCTTTGAAATATACTGAGAATAAATGTTGTTGTTGAAGTAATAAATGTTTTCGAAAATGGTATACAATTATAATTATTGAGTGCATTTATTTATTTCTTACTTTTTGTTTAGTTATAGCACTGTTGTTTTACATACTAAGGATAAGGGAGCAATCCATTCATCTTGGTGATGATAACCTGAGCTTGGTCTTTTGGAAGTTACAAAAGATATGGATATAAATCATTTAAAAAATTTAACACTTGGAACTACCACTTATTTAATACCAAAAAGATCACTCACTTAATCCAAATTAGAGAAATGATAGCATTAAATTAATTAAAGTAAAATAAGGTATAATTTTACTACTGAACTTCTCACAATATCATAATTAATTTTCAAAAGTCACAAATGCATTCCGATTTTGAAAATTAAGAGTGCTGGTGAATCTCAACCAATGATGGTGTGGTAGGGAAGAGTGGAAAAAAAATCCACTTGTCCCCACCAGGAGGGACAGCTGGTAGGGACTAGTGGAATAGGCCAAAATTACAGACACATAAGCCTTGTCAACTATGTCTCAGAGTGATAGGCCCAGTGGAAATGTCTCTCAGATCTTTGCGATTTAAAGCTCTGAATGGCACTACAACTGCTATGGACAGACATGTTACGTAACACCAGGCACACAACTTGCCCGTTCCATCACGTGGTACCATAAGACATTAGGAGACTGTCTGACCCTTCAGATCAATTGTCAGACCCTATGAGATCCTGGTGTCTTTTCGTTGTCTGTCTTTGCTGTAGAGATGAAAGCCATACACCTAGAACTCCAATACTAAGATAACATCAAACCTTACCTCCTGCCGCAGCAAGTCAATAGGGATGTTGCAGTAGCCTGTGTAGCGTGGAGTGGCATTGTACTGGGAATAACCCTCGTACAGTAGAAACACCAGGCCGGAAGAACAGGCAAAGAGCAGCGAACATAACACCACCACACATATCATAGGAATTACCCGCTTCTTGGATGCTACGATGACATCCTGGAGAAGAAAAAAAATTTTTTTTATGTAGCAGTAATTTAATCATTAATTTTCTATTAAACGTGAAAAATAAAATATTTTATAATATAATACGCGAATACATACGACAAAAAAATATCATTCTTAGACATAAAATAACGAAATTTATTTACTTTGCGACATCGCCAGTGCGCAAGTCCGATATTGATATTTCTGCAAAATTTGCAAGTTAAAGACGATTCAAAATTCCGTAAAATAATAAAAATAATATTTGCAAGTATTTCACACGCGTGTATAATCCCAGGTCCTCACATATTATATATTTTTTAAATTAATGAACTTTATAGTAGGAATTATATCCTCACCTCATCGACTCCAACGGACGGGTCGCCTATAAAATAACTCTTATCATCATTATCTGGTGGTGGTGGTGTTGGTGGCTTCGTTGTTACGGAGATCTTAGTTATAACCGTCATGACTTCGGTGACTTGGAACAACGGAGGTTCCGCGCCCGGCGAAAAACCTGCGCGTCAAAGTACGCAAGTTCGCTCACGATCGACCCGCCCGAGACAAAATTAAATAAATAAATAAATAATGAAAGACGTTTTCAGTGTTGCCAGAATTAGAAGAAATTATTACCTACCGTACATTGTTCGTCCGACGAAATTGACGTGAGTATAATTTTATTCAACGCCGAGCTCCGTAGCAAATAAGTAAAATGTAAAGTTCATTATTGTCGTACATCATCTTGCAGATAATAAACTTGCGCTTCATTTTTGGTTTATAGTTATCACATTTTTTACTCCGATATTTTCTGTTCGGTATGTTATTATAAAAAAATCACACAGCAAAATAGTAAATCCCTTCGAGTATACAACTGTGAGGTAAATCTTTAGATTATAGTCATTGGGGTTTCTATACCAACACTCAAACAAAGAAACGTAACATTAAGAAAATTAGTTTGTAATGGGACTCAACATGTTTTTTTAGCTTCAGAATGGTAGTATGAAAAGCATAATTATAAGAATAATCTAAAATTCCGTTACATTCAAGATTTCTCTTTCGCTGAAGAGTAAAATCAATATCGTATCGTACTTACTATATTTACTCCAAAGTGCCGTAACAATGGCAACATTGAGTTTATTTTATACCAATTTCACAGCAGAATAATGCATTGCATTACACTTATCGACAGGGATCCGCTGTAAATCGGTCAGGAAAAGTTTTATGTCTATTATGTTGTTTCGCGTCTGCGGAGAAACACGTAACATCTTTTCCGCTTATATTGCTCACCATAAAGCCTTTTCTGACTGGCTCAAGCCAATTCTGCATTAATAAGTGTAGTGACACCCTTATAGCAAAAAGTTATTTTCCTTCAAATTTATTATACATACTTGCGACAAATGGAATGTCAAATTGAAACCATGTTAGTTATTGTAGATATTATAATTATGTATTTCAGCTCAACTCGACCTGAAGGCGTTTTCACGCGTTTTATTGACAGGATTTAATTTTATCGAGTTCTTAGGTTTTCGCGATTGTTACTATTTTTCCGGATTTAAATTGCGTATATTTGTTTTTTCAAACATGGTCAACCGTGACTATGGGACCTGCAAAGGGCACGAAACGTCGTCGGTTTGTTTGAAGAAACAAATATATGCGAACAAATATTTCATTTCCTAGGATTTAATTTTGTTTCTTTTTGTATATGAATTTTGATTAAGAAAGCTAAATTAATTATTTTTTCAAGAGACGTGTGTGTTTAACTATAGACAAAGACAAATAGATTTTTTTGTCTATGATAGTCGGTTCAGAAAAAAAAGAAAGAAAAGATTTTTTTTCAAAAGGAAATGGACGATTTGGTGTTGTAGAATAATCTGTGATTGTGAGGTTAAATGAATCAGCAACGCATATTGTGCCGTTACATTATGTTTGCGTAGTTCTCGTGCGATTAATTTTAAGTTAATTATTTGTTTTATTGTGTATTTAACCAAGTTTCATTGCACGAGTGCGATACAAGTTCATATATAAAATGGCGACTGACCAAGTGAAAAACCGCATGCAAGTTTTCAAGAACACTGGCAAAGATGTCGATGTAAGTACTAGCAAGTTATTTTTTGGTATATCGTATTTGCAAATAATTAAGATAGACTGAACTTAGTTTGGAAATAACCTTATTTGCATATGATTATTAGGAAATGCGTAGACGGAGGAACGAAGTGACAGTTGAACTTAGGAAGAATAAAAGGGAAGAAACACTTCAGAAACGTCGGAATGTGCCTATTGGTGACTCCACAGATGAGGATGAGATCGACAGGGCATTGGCGTCCACTGACTTGAAGGAATTAGTGATGAACGCGGCGAACGCAGATAACCCCGAGGTACAGCTGGCAGCCGTACTACAGTGCAGGAAACTACTGTCTTCAGACAAGAACCCCCCGATCGACGACCTCATAGCAACCGGCATCCTGCCCGTACTTGTTCAGTGCTTATCAAGAACAGACCACCCCACGTTACAGTTTGAAGCATCCTGGGCCCTAACAAACATTGCATCAGGGACATCAGCACAAACAAACAAAGTAGTGCATGCGGGTGCAGTACCTCTCTTCCTTCAGCTGCTAATGTCACCTCATGAGAATGTATGTGAGCAAGCTGTGTGGGCTCTCGGCAACATTATTGGTGATGGCCCAGTGTTACGAGACTTTGTAATAGAGCTGGGTGTTGTAGAACCTCTCTTGAGCTTTATCAAGCCAGATATACCTATTACTTTCCTACGTAACGTGACATGGGTTATTGTAAACCTGTGCAGGAGTAAGGATCCACCTCCACCAGTGAAGACAATCCGAGAAATCCTACCCGCACTTAATGTACTCATCATGCACACTGACATCAATGTAAGTATATTTTGAGGCTGAAGTTATTGACACAGCTATTTCAAAACGATTAGTTGATTTTATTATACCTAAAATATTTATTAAATAATAACAAAAAATATTGCAACAATTTTATATCACCATCTACAAATAACAAAAGAAAATGAATAAGCAAAGAAGCATATTTTGCTTAAGGAAAATTGTTAATCGTAATAAAACTTATCCCTTTAAAACTTTTATTGCAGATTCTAGTAGACACAGTTTGGGCAATCAGCTACCTAACAGATGGAGGCAATGAACAGATTCAAATGGTGATTGAGTCAGGCATTGTACCAAAACTGATTCCCCTGCTCTCCCACAAGGAGGTGAAGGTGCAAACAGCAGCTCTCCGGGCAGTGGGCAACATTGTGACGGGCACAGATGAACAGACACAAGTCGTCCTTAACTGTGATGCGCTGTCACATTTCCCGGCATTATTGTCACATCAGGTACGTTTGATGATACTTTATAAAAATTTATACAGTTTTACTAATTTTGAAGCACTTAATTTCTTGCAGCTTTTCAATATGAATCCCACTTTTATGAGCTTATTGCATTCTATTACCCAGGTGGACTTGGTTAAATCAGTTCCATGTTGAGAATATAGTATTCTAAACTACAGACTGGACAATTATTGAGAACTAAAAACCCGAGAGAAACCTTAATTGAGCTAAACAACCATGAATGGTACCGTTGCTACCAGTTGAATAAATTGTTTACCTAGTTATATATAATAATTATCCTTATAGGCATAAAATAATAATAAATAAGTAACATTTTCAATTACCATGCATTTTCCATTATGCGGCTTGTTGCTGGCCGGTCGTGTTGTGGCTGGCCGCGACTCTGAAGTAAAAAGGGATCGCACGCTGCAAGCAGCCCCCGAGTAGTCGCTTAGTGTAAATTGGCACTTAGTGCTTCTAATAGGCAAATTGATTAATTTGATTGGTATTCTATTTTATATTTCTAGTTAGTTTGCCTCTTCAGTGATGTATCGAGGCAGCTAGAATAAAATATTTGCTGCTACATTTTACATGACAAATTTTTTGCATCCATCAAGCAAATTTTTCTTTACACGAAAATGTATGCATTACTTTACCAAAATATTTCTTAACAGAAAGAGAAGATCTGCAAGGAAGCTGTGTGGTTCTTGTCAAACATCACAGCAGGAAACAAGCACCAGGTCCAAGCAGTCATTGATGCTGGCCTCTTACCCAAAATTGTAGAAAATCTCAGTAAGGGAGAGTTCCAAACGCAGAAAGAAGCCGCATGGGCAGTATCAAACCTGAGTATAAGTGGGACTAAGGAACAGGTAGCCGCATTGATCAACTGTGGAGTCATACCACCCTTCTGTAATCTTCTGAGTTGCAAAGATACACAGGTTATAAATGTAAGTATTCTTTCTATTATGAAATCCTAATTTGTTACCAGACATTGCTTTATGGCATCTTCATCATAAGAAAACAAACAGAAAAAATATGAGGATATAAGGTATAAAAAGGAAGGACATCAACAATGTTTATGAGAAAATACAAGTACATAGTTACTGTTGAGGATATTTGTTCTTTCATTCAAACTTGACCTGATGATGACCTATCTTAATTAGTTAGTTGGAGTAGGGTTGCCAATAGAGTGAATATAATTTTAATTATGTTTAATTTTTATTCCAAATCAAGTTTTTAAGATACAGGCAACTTGGGCAATGTCTTGCTAGACTAAATGCTACTTGATTTTATGTAGGAACTGAAGCTCTTTTGTGAAAAGGAACTATTATTGTAAAAAGTGACCTTGAACATAACTATATGAGTGATGACATACTTATGTAGGATGCTGCTGGGTGGAATGCTCTTCAAGGTACCTGCATACTGTTTAAAAGATGTTCTTTGTTTCTTAAACAAAGGATTTTCCAAATCTTATCTATCATATAAATGTTTAGATATAATTTGACACAAACAAAGCTAATCAGGACATAAAAGTATATAGGTAGATAATGAATCTGATTGTGGAATAACAGATTTTGTTTTTCCCATGTCTACTAAGGTAAAGCACATCAAAACAATTTAGTATATTGGTCCATTGTGATTGTTTTATTTTTTAAGAGGAGGTCAACCTGCTGGCTAACTACACAACATGAATAATTAAGGCTTTATAAAACTATATAGTAGTAGTAAATGTGGTTTAAATGCCAACACTGACATGGAAAGCCAGAATATTGATGCTACCAGTCTGTCTTTCCATTTACACACTTACCAAGCATAGATAGATTTTTCTAGTGCATGGACTTGCCTCAATCATATAAAAAACTTCTTGTATATTTTCATTGCTTACTGTCCTGCACCATGTGGATGTAATTTTTTACTAAATTGGATCAGTGGGTCTACTCTACTTCTCCATCTGACATACTGGCAAAAGACAATGTCAAATATGGAGCTTCATTCGCATCAAGCATCTTTTAATTTGGTTGAGCATTACTTATTTGAAAGTAATTGTCTTGGACGGAGAATGGAAATTGACACCCTGATTTGAGTGTTCTCCGTATTATTGTTAATATTTTAATTAAAGACCAGGATGTTGATGTCTTTGGCATACATAGGTAAGTAGCTAAACTATCATCATTGATCCAATTTTGTCAGGTGGTGCTGGACGGGCTAAGCAATATGCTAAAGATGGCGGGCGAGAACGCAGAACAGGTGGCCAGCATGATCGAAGAATGTGGCGGTATCGACAAGATCGAGGCGCTGCAATCGCATGAGAAAGTCGAAATCTACAAGATGGCTTACGACATTATTGAACAGTACTTCGCTGGAGAGGTCAGGGCCTTTTATAACTCTCTATTGTTATTGAAAAATAGACAAAATAAATATCTTATTTGTTTCCTGTATATTTTGACTTGGATGGCTGGTTTTTGATTACCACTCGACATATATGATGCGAAACAAGTGTGAAAATATTTGTTTTGTCAACTAGGCTTAAGCACTCTTGGTGCTATATGGATATGTCCAGAGGTGGGCAAGCGCCCGGGTTTCCACCCGGTGCTTTGTAAATGCCCGGTTTAAATCGGGTTAATACCCATTAATGCCCAAAATCGAGAGCAAAGACTATTAACAAGTAAATATTTATTGAAAATCGAATTTTATTAAAGTTAAAGGATTTAATCACAAAATGTTTATTGTTTTCTGATCTGAATGATTCGGTTAGCTTTTCTATTAAATAGATTAAGATTAATATCCCATTGAAATAAATCCATACAAAAAATCGTTAGGTTATATGCACTTGCATCCTTCGTAGTGAGAATCCACAGAATTGCAAGATGGGTATTGTGTGGAGCTGCCTCTTTTTCATCTAAAAAAGATCTTTTTAATAACAGAAATTTGTAAACGTTGGAATTATATCAAATTCCGTATTCTACGTTTGAGCGCACGATTTTGTGTAGTAATGGGTTAAAACCCAACTAAAGCCTGGATAAGTTGATTAGGTTGTAACCCACTTCCTATCTCTGGGTATATTCGTACAAACTGTTAGATTTGTTGTGGAAGAATCTGCATTATTGGCACTCCATACAAAGGTAGGGGCGAAGTGCCCACGTAACACGATTCTCGCCTTGTCTAAGAAATTATTGCAACTAAGTAGGAGGTATTGAACATTAAATGCCATGCTGCAGTAGCAAGACGCAGTATGACTTTTGGCACTGGTATAACGATTTGTTATTTTTACATTAGATCCATTTTTTTTCCTTAAGTCTGTACAACCTCAAATGGCTTTGGTTGATTCTGCATAACTTTGGAAAAAATATAATAGTAAACTTGAGGATATGTCTGGTTACTATATGGCGTGAAAACACGATTCCTAAAACTTTTCACGATAGAAAAAAAAAAACTTATCTCGAAATTTTACGAGAAAACCGCTGTGTTTCTTTAGGTACTTTTAGAACACGTATAATATACCATATACATTATTCAAATGGCTGTAATATTATTTGTAAAAAATAAATTGTGAAATAAAGTCAGTGTCGCGTCCACTCGACTGTATTAGTACGGGAAAAACTTGAATTCGGGCTGAGGTAGCATCAACTATTAAGTATCTATCTTTTCCTTAGTGTCATTATTAAATTGTGTTACTGTTTCTTGCAGGAGGAAGACGCGACGTTAGCGCCGTCGACAGGCGAAGCGATGTTCCAGTTCGAGCCGTCGGCCAGCGGCGCCCCGCAGGACGGCTTCCGTTTCTAGGGCGGGGCCCCCGCGCCTGTCGCGCTCTGCCCGCCACGCCCACTTAAGAAGGATTTACATGACGATACACATACACTTGTACGAGTATGACTGTAACCGACACTAGGTAATCAAGTTACTCTTGGTCAAGACACATCGAGAAGATTCTGGTTACTTATCGAAACTGTTTGAAAATAAGTATAACAATATTGAATTGAAAAATAAATGAAATATGCCTTATTACAGTGTAATTATTGTGCTCAAATGACTATTTTGTAAAATTGATTTAAATATCACAGATACGTAATTAATTTTGGGTTATATTGGATCGTGCCCATATTTTGATTGTTTCTTTAACGTCACGTCTTTATTGGCTAGCGCATTACTTCCCGATGTGTCTTATTTGTTAGTCATTTTTATAAACAATTGTTATCGTATGCAAATTCTAACAGATTGTAAACATCGACCGTGCGTAATCTACAGACGTGTATTTTCAATTAATTTTAACATTATCTAAGTAACACCTACATCGTTTGTATGCAGAACCGCATCGATGTAACTTCTACACCGTTTTACCCATCTATAGATTTCGGCCATTCGTTAATTTTCGCGACAATAAGAATAATTCAGTAGTTTAAGTTCATAAGTAAGTAATCTCATTCAGTAAATTATAGTTTTAATCAATCTTTAAGTTACTTCTATCGATTAGGGTTCAACGATGTATGAAGTTGTGTTGTGGTTAGGGTAGATTACCAACAGGCAGCTAGTGTTAACTCGAGGCTAAGTCTCATGCTTGCCTGCGTTTTTGCCTGGACGCTCTGGTGCCTGATTTATATAATTTCATTATCAACCTATGTAATATGCGGCATTAGCCAGAGTCGACTAGTTGGGCAAAGATGGATCCAAGCGAGCGTACCAGCGCTTCACAAATGCTCATGAATTAACGAACGATAAATTTCTTGTATCTATTGTATTGTAATGTATTGTAGTTATGGCGGTTATTGAATTATTCGAGTTAGAATTTCGTTCGTCGATTCAGCGGGCGGACTCGTTGCAAAAAGGCCTTAGCACCGTTTCGATTGTAAAATTCGCGTTGTAAAAAATTGTTCGTGTTCGCGGTGCTGTGGCTTCGTTGTGATACAACTCTATTGTGATGTTTCAAATATTTTCATCTTGTTTTTCGATTTCGTATTAAAAATAAATGGACGACGGACACGAATGTTTTGCTTCACAAAGTACCGCGTACTTGTGTACGCGTAGTGTACTCGCTTACAGATTGAATGCTTTTATAACATAGTATTTATGTTTCGATTTTAACTCCCGATTGTATCAAATGATCCACGGGAAAACCGTTTTAAGAATTATGTTGTGACATTCAGTCCATTTGTATCTAAACCAATAAATTCTGTCCAATCTAGTGGCTCTTATTTTTTTTTTCAAAACATTTAAGATTTGATTGTATGTACTTCTGAATCAAATACAACTTTTAATAAACTCGAATCAAAACGCGGAAATCTGATGTTACGTATGTCTTACTATGAACTGTCTGTATAGAACGGCTGATTTTCATTTGAGGGAAGTCAAAGAATAAATTTGTTGTCATGAGTACAAAATATTATAGTAAAATCAATCCTAAGGACGCCTTTAAGTTAAACGCTTATAGAAGCACAGTAGTGGCGCTGCAGTCGCGCCACTACTCATTTTTATACAATATTTAGAAGCGCGACTGCGACGCTTCTGCAGACATCTAATTTGAAGTCGCCCTTATCCGTCCCGAAAGTACTTTGAAGTGACCGTGAACAAAGAAACGACCTCTCCTATTATGGTTCCATTGATCAAGGTAAGTTGTTTTAAATAAAACAACAGTTTACTTTAAGGTGTATTTGTAGCACAGTCTTACACAAGGTGTTAACCAATGACTAAAGTCAATTGGAATAAATAGATGGTAAAGAATCTTGATACTGTCGCGATTTGTACTGTTGACGCAGTTCGGCAGATTTCTGAAAGCAACAAAATAAGGTTATATGAGAAGAGCATAGCAAAGGAGCTTGAAAGTACTCTGGGAAGTACTTTGAAATTTCATACAGTCTAAGTTCGTCAAGTAAATGACGAACATTTTTATGAAAACCCCCGACGAAATTATTTGGACTATATAGTATATGTAATTATTTCAATGAAACTAGGATGTGTTAATATAAATGACATTTTACCTTTCGCAATTCGCAAGCATAACACTTAACGTTGGAGTAAACGGCCTCTTGTGACCCGTCGGGGTGCAAAGAAGTTAGCCGGCTTTGCAGGGACTCTACATCGTAGAACAAACCCACTTTGTGGTGGAAGCTGGGAAGCAAATTTATGTTAAAACGTTGCTGTAGTCAACATCAGTTTCCTATCTAAATAATAACGCACACACTCAAAGTCCCGTACTAGAACAAACCTGTATCACGGGTGCCAGGGTGAAATGAACACACATAAACAACCACGAATTACACCCAAACTCACGAGAGAAATAAATGTACCTAGGCCATATTAATATTTCTCTCGGCCCGGGAATCGAACCCGGGACCGCAGACTGGCAAACCAGAATGGTAACCGTTCGGCCATGGAGACAGTTAATACATAAAATGGGCCACTTGAACCTACTTCTTTCTTTTTTCCTGTAACCGATAGGTATATTATATAGATAGATAGATTACGTACGTAATTTCGCTTTTTTAACCACATTTTTTTCAATTCATTCACTGTTTTATCTCATCCAGATACTTGACGACTCTATCCTTTTGTAGCGAACCACGGACTACAATCTTTTTGGATTTAAAAAAATATTTCTATTCTAATTCTAAATTCAATTGTATGTAACTGAATGAAACTTATTTTTCCGGATTTAAAATCGTGATTAAGTATATGTTTTGTTTATTATTAAACATTTCGGGCTTGTCTAATGTGGTCTGTGGGCTTGTCACAGGCACGGTTACGGTACATAAAGGATGGAAAAAATTTTGGTTTCCATAGTCTAAGTTACGGTTAACTCCACTTGTTTTTGATGCCTTTTTATGGCAAACTTTGTTATTCTACACCTTAGAATAATAACGCAATTCTAAGTTCTACACTATTATTTTTGAGCGGTTGTCTTCATGTTTTTGTATCTATGAGGTCTATTAAAAACAGTAATTACATTTTCTGTGGTTTCACCCAATCCACGTCGATACAGTCCGCTATATATCTAGTTCGATTAAGAAACCCCGAGAAATTGAAATGAAATGATATCTATCTGAAACACAATAGGTTATAATTATATGGCGAACATTATCTTACTTAGGCAATGGGCGAACCCAGTGATTGTCCAGCCGATTAAGCTTCATGATACCGCTAAGCCGTTGCAGCAGGCTGAAGTTGTCGTTTTGGATCTTGTTCTTGCGCTCGGACTCCCGTTGTTGCTTTTTCAGTTTGAGAACTACGTGTGGTCTCGCGGGAGGCGGTTTGTCGTCGATCGCGGGAAGAGCCGATCGGACCTGCGTATTCACATGTCTGGTACTACAAATTAAATTGTCCGTGGACCCCTCAATGGGTTAAAACATTGAGACCCTAAGCACATATAACCTAACCGTCCCTAACATACTGAGTGGTTTATTTATAGATACGATGGAAAGCAGTAGGTACTAAGCCGAATTCTACTCCGGGTTGCTGCTGGCTGGCATCAGGGTTGTCCCCGATAAAGGCATTTTACACATCAGATGCAGATGCTGAACTTAACGTCAGCGGATGCTGATTTTATGTATTTAAAAAAAACTCGAGAAATGTACATGCTTACTGAATCTATCTGCATGAAAAAGCTTTCTATTTTTTGTAATAAAATGTTATTTTAATGATTTTGTGACATTTATTAAGAAAATAATTAATCTACATGAAAACAATCAATTTGCCTAGGTTAATCTTTCTGGAATTTTATCAGTCATATTTTAAAAAAGCAGTTGAGCTGCTCTTTCGGCTTAGTCTGTTTCTGAAAGGTTTATAAATGTTCCAGCGTCCCTTTTAGGTCATATCACGACACGAACATACGCGATGAAGGTCAGTTGATGCGGACGCGGATATTTTATTTTATATTGATTATTTATGCTGATATACCTGACAACCCTAGCCGGGATATGTATTTTCCAAGTGGGATACTACGTCTACATTTTCACTTTCTAATATGTATTATTTATCATATTTCTAATAGTTAAAGAAGTTAATAAGTTCATATTTTATAAACAAAATCAAGAAATCAATATAGCAAACATAAGATTGTAATTTCTCAGTTCCCCTTTAATTGCATAGTTTCACAATTATACGAGCTCAATACCTCGGAATTGTTTCAACTTAAAAGATTTTGAGTTTATGGTTAATTTTATTAAAAACCAAAAGTTTCCTGTGTGGTGTGTAAAAAACTAACATCTGCCTTATGGCTTAGTCGATGAATTTACTATTATTATTATTATTATTATTATTTTTAAATAAATAACGCGCACACTCAACATAGCCCCGCACTAGGGAAACCCTGTGTCGCGGGTGCCATGGACACACACATAGACAACCACAAATTACACCCAAACTCCGAGAGAAATAAATGTAAGCCATACAAACATTTCTCCCGGCCCGGGAATCGAACCTGGGACCTCTGTGTGGCAGTCCGGCATGGTAACCGTTCGGCCACGGAGGCAGTTAATGAACATCAAATATAATTTATATTTAAATGAACATCAAACTGCAAGAATCCTTGAATTGCCTATTTTCCTTAATGGTGTATTGGACACATTGGAGTCGATGCCCATAAAACGTTAATTTCCACAGGGCCACCATCCAGGAAAACCAAGTAATATGTACTGACTTTTTAACAAGGGAAGAAATAAGCTTTGATTTCGTTTAGCACGAGATTCGATAATATTAAGTGTAGGTATGAAAAAAGTCCTGCGGTTGTAAATAAAAACTGGCCCGAGATTCCTGCTCAGAGCTCTAATGAAAAAATAAATGTACCTATATTCTACGTATACACAACGATAACCAAATGACGAGAAGAACAAGTCGTGCGCCTGGTGGTAAGCGACATGCCTGTCCATAACAGTTGCATTGCCACTCAGAAGTCGCAGTTTTTAAATCGTAAAAACCTGAGAGACACTGCCATTGCGCCCTTCACCATGAGACATAAGTTTACAAGTCCCATGTGCCTCTAATTTCAACAGCACCCTTACCCTTCAAAACCGGAACGCAGTAATGCTCACATTACTGCTTGGCGACAAAAATATGTAAGACGCTAGTACTTCTCTGGATGGACTCTTTTTACTGCTACGAAAAAAGAAGTGCAGGCGCCTACGTGAACTGTGGGTTGTTGACAGCCAAAATGTTCGAAAGTTATTTAAATTATTATTGTAGCATACCTTTGATCTGTGGTCTTTAAATCTCCGATCTTCCCATGGTTGGATGAGCAACTTGTCCCTTCGCGATAGCATTTTAAAAACCCGTTCATAAGTACAATTACAAAATGTAAACGTTATTAGGGAATCTGACAGAGTAAGCAAAACCAACAATTCGTATAATCAATGAAATCAACTTGTTGCCATGGCCATTAGCGTATTAAAAGAGCGGTATTATTAAATATTGATTGACCTGAATATACTACAAGTTTTAAAACTTAAATAGTAAGTTTAGCGATCCAGAGGGGAAACATTGGCACCCTCCTGGGCACGACGCGATACCCGAGGGCGCGGCATTCAATCAATTTTTCTACCTCTACATTTCACATGTTATAGTATATTATTTCCCCTACTGTAATGCCATTTAAATGATGTTGTTATTAATCTCCAAAGCCCTTCGGGTATACAAAGATTATTTTTAAAATACTGTAGAGTTCATATCTTTTTTTAGCAGCACACGTAATTTGCCTTTAAAAATCTTTTTCATTATTCATGTCAAGTTGTGAAGCTTTGTTAGAGTATTTTTAGTTTATGCCTTCTCTACAATATACGACACCTTAGTATCCCATAATAAAAGTTTCTGCTTAGTTAAAGTTAGTTACCAGTTGTTTGCAAAAGGACATTCATGTACTCAATATTTGACATTCTTGTACTATTTTGTTTCATAATATTACAACAATTATGTTCGTGGAGAAAATAAATACATTATTATATGGGATAGGATACGGGTAAAGCCTCATTAGCGTTGTCAGCACTTTCTAGAATAGGATACGAGTTGAGTCTCAATTGTAAGCACGCATCAACATCGCATTGTCAGCACTCTAGCGTCCCGAAGATACCATACATGGTACACCTTTCTTTAGTATACACACAACGCAAATCGTGCTGGCCTTGGCAAGCTCGGTATATCATCGACCTTACTTCCGACTTTTCTGTCTTGACCGTGGTCTGATTGCCCTATATTTTTTTTTTAATACCATCTAAATGTCCCCAGCGACTCAGGTATACATGTTGCGAAACAATAAGACAACATTGCAAATTAATAAATAAATTATAATGTTAAATATTATACACTGCACTTACATTGGTATCATATTCTTGCTCGTTACATCAGATAATATACACGAAAACAAACACATGGTTACATACAAATTAAAAAATATATACTTTTGAGCAATACAAAAATAAAAAAACTCAATCACTCTACTTAAAACTAAGATTATTATTATATTTTGTCGGTGACCGTACTTTAGTACTTAGAGAAAACGTTTTTGTCGTTTTGTGATATTAATAAGCCCTAGGAATGTTAGCGTAGTCCCGTTCTAGTTTTGGCAATGTTTTTCTTGTAAAGCTTTTTAAAATAATTTCAATGTTAAATTGTTAATTATTAAATACATTTATTTCATAAGAGACATTGTAAGTTAGAAACATATTTTATTTATAGATTTTAGGACTCTCGTGATTATTTACCAACAGGTTTCTTACCTCTTTAGGAAGGCAGATCAAATTATGTCCTTAAACCTGTTAACTGCCGCTTGCCAGGCAATTTCATGGCCATGGTAAGAAAATGTCATATTGTGGTATGAAAACTGGAGATAATCGTATTTTTATTGTCTACAATTTAAATATATAACGCGACTTTACTAACTGGGGCTTTTCAAGTTTACTAACATGTTACTTGCTAGAAATTACTTTATACAGATTTTAAATTTATAGGATAGCATAAACTTGAGATGTCCGTCGACACCTCAATGACGCCAGTTACTTTAGATGCATTATTTACAAGACAAATGTTCAGAAAGCACATACCTACTGTGTTACGCTTGCTTAAGAAGTAACATAGAGGCACTAAATTTGTTTTTGCTGGCAAAGGTAGAATATCAAAAGTCAATTTCAGAATATTTCTTTGTTAAAAAAACATTTTTTTACGTTTCTAACTTACACCAATGCCTCTTAAAATCAATTTAATAAACGCCACAACATACATGGACACTGCATCAATCGTTTGCACATACAACGTTCATCCCTTGATATTTTAGTTTCTTTCGCGTATCTACTTTCTACCTATCCAACTTGGCATTTTTGTGCTCAATTTAGTTACATGATTTTTTATTGGACTTGGTAAACGTTAGCTTCCACACAAACTTTAATAAAAATGAGAGAAATTCATCACCTATAAAGAGGGAGATTGTTTTTAAAGTAAATATACTAACTATCAGTGCAAAACTGGTGTAATATACATTAAATATTGATTGTACATACAATATTACTTTAAATGATACTAAAAACATAATTATTTTCTATTTGGATGTTATTTTCATTCATAAAAAAATTCAATAATGAAATCTTTTTATTCATTTTTTTTATACATGACAGGCAGATGACTCCACTCCACCTGATGTTAAATGGAAAATGGAATCCAGACGTAAAGGTACCTAGTGCAGTGTTGATACAATCATCGTCCTAGCCACTCCACCCTGCATGCCTATAAGATGCCTCTTCACGCCTCGTTTGAAGGACCCCATATCGTAAGCAGGGAATACGTGCGCTGGAAGAGAATTCCATTTGTCGACTATGCGACAGAGAAAGGTGCCAAGCCTTTTAGTTCGCAATGGTATACGGCAAGTTGTGAAACAGGTAGGGAGGGATACATGAAAATAGCATCCATTTTCCATTTAGCATCCATCCATTATATTTATAAAAAAAAAACGTTATGTACGTATGTAGTATCATTTAAAGTGAAATTGTAGACAAAAAATTTATGTGGGTATACCACTTTTGCGTTGATAGCCTCGAGCATAAATATTCCGTTCCAGGGACAGTTTCTTTTTGCAATATGTATCATTGGTATAATAAGCCACAATTATGATCATACTTTATAAGAGCTGTTATCACACGGAAGTCATAAAAATAATACCACCCATAAGAATTTTTTTTTTTATTACATCAAGGCACGGGACGAACAAGTCATGCGCCTGATGGTAAGCTACACGCCTGTCCATAATAGTTGCAGTGCCACTCAAGAGCTTTAAATCGCAAAGATCTGAAGGGCACTTCCACTGCGCCCGTTACCCTGAGACATAAGTTGACAAGTCCCATGTGCCTGTAATTTCACCAGCACCCTTGCCCTTCAGAACCGGAACACTGTAATGCTGTAATCATTGCTTGGCGGCGGAAATAGGTAAGGTGGCAGTACTTCCCTGGACGAACTCCTTCACGGGGAGCTCTACTGCTACTAAATAACGTTTATGTGAAATATTGGTAACTATCCTGTTTCAGCTTAAAAAAGTTACCAACTAATTTCGTCTTTAAACCTCTCCTGAAAATTTGTCATTTTGCAGATGTAGCCTTATTACACCAAGGGTTGCAATTACTAGCACACCAAATGGATACTAGTATAATTTGGCCTCTGTCCAGAACCTGCAAAAACTAGACAAACATGTATTTGAACTTAATATGGTCAATTTATATGACTTGACAAGTTAAGATAGACCGCTACTAGCTAATGAATTGGTCCAGCAAAGTTCGGCTTGAACTTACTGACACTTTATTAGTGAAGCTTATATAATAAATTATTGCCTTCGTTTACCAAATTCTTTTACAACGGAAGACACTGCATCTACATATACAGAAAAACACAAAAACTGAAAAGACCGACGTGTGTTTTTGCTTTAAAAATTAATATTTTCTCATTTTCACTTTGTCCTATTAAAAAACCTACGTTACATTTTGAGTTTGCCTCGCATTTAGTCTAATTTATATTTACTGAGTATAAAACGTATTAAATACATCAAAAAGATCTAACAACATACTTTTCTTGCGATTTGAGGCACCGCTTAGATTTGAACTTGGGGAGTATTCTTCAGATATGGAACTCGCGGAAAAAAACGAGTAAAAAAAAAACTCGAAACAACCATCGATTGAAGAAATACATTATTGTATGCAGCATACAACTTAGGTGTTTTCGGGAGCCTATGGCCTCGTTTCAGACAGGCATTCAATCCTAATTATAGTTAAATACATGCTTCTTCCGTTATGAGTCAGAAAGAGGTCAAAAATTTAATTCCGCCTTCCCTTTTCCATCATCGGGGGACTAGACGTAGGCTGGGGTTGCAACCCTATGTTATGAATATTCCAAGGATTCGCAAGAAAGCGTTACACTTTCACATTTATATGGCGAACGACTATAGAGTGGAATTCCCTGCTTGTTGACTTATTCCGTGAACGCTATAACTTGGGTCTTTCCAAGGCAATAGTAAATAGGCTTTATTTAGATGTGCATGCTCCATCATTGACCTCATCATCACTTTCCATCAAGTGAGATAGAGGTAAAATGCGCAATTATTTTTTTTTTAAAAGATTCAACGCCCATAGAGGACTCCATATACGACGTCATGTGTTTGTATTACGCACGAATTGTATATTAAACTGGACCGCGCACTAAGTTTATAAAACGAGCCGAGTGAGAGGAAAGTAGTAATGCGTCTCTTTCTAATAGGGTGTTCATTCATGTTTTAGCCAGCCATATTGATTTTAACTTTTTAATTTTTACAGAAAATGTGGCCGCTTATGGATAACCAAAACTACTAATATTATTTAATAATACAAATTAATATACTTATTTGATATGCCACTTCATAATAGAAGGTTTCATTGTAGATATATATATGTATATATATATTTGTATTATTACAGTAAAAGCATATTACCTTTAAGATAATTTTATATAAGCAAAATTTTAAATAGTTAATAGACTAGACACTACCTAAGATGATTTTATTTAGCGTCGGCAACTTGTTAGACAAGGACAGACCACTACTTCGAGCTATCTCACGTGACTCGGTTATTTACTTTTACTTAAAATAAACTTTAACATAACCCAATAAGGTGTAAATTTGTAATATTGGTATAACGAAGTGCGCGATCCAGTTTACGAAATATATAAATCCGTGGTATTGCGAGTATACTTGTAAGGCGTCAACATTTTACAGATCTAAACTAAAATAAATGTCTACTTTTCTAACTCATAATGAAAGAGGCAGACGCAATGAAATTAAATAAAATTTAGTTCGGATTGCCCGAATTGATGCCACTGTCACACATTACAATACTTTTTAAATGCTCTCTAAACGGTAACT